GTGTTGGCTCCCAGAGCTGAAGAGGTGACTGTCAAAAAAAAAGCAGTTTGTTTGGAAACAAACTTGCTTTGATTGATTGTGTTTTAAGCTCAGACTAATGTGGACAGTGCCATTGCATTCAATGCCATTTTCTAGTATTATACAGCAATCACAGTGTGGTATTTCTGGAATTTATCAGCTATTTTTACACATCAAATTTCCACTTCATTTATTTTCAATAGTAAAATAATAAATAATAATCAAATAAAGTGTGTGTGTGTGTGTGTGTGTGTGTGTGTGTGTGTGTGTGTGTGTGTGTGTGTGTGTGTGTGTGTGTGTGGGCTTAAAGGTGGTTATGTGGTGTATGCATGCACGCCTGCCTGTGAATGCATGCGTGAACAGAAATGAAACAGACAAATCCATCAGACGTCCACTGGGTTTTGGTTTGTGTACCACCAGGAGCACCCATTAACAGAAAATAAATGCTTGACGTCATAAACCTGACAGAGTCTCATTCATACTGACATTCGGGCTAAATTACACATAAAAGCACTGATAACATCATCATTAAATATTGATTTCTAAGGCTGGTTTAAACAAAAGCATGTCTACACATAATCAGCAGATGACGGGATTTGGTCAGAGCACAGGAAGGAGAGTTATATAAAAAGGGGCCTCTTTTCATAAACATCTTTTCATAAACATCTTAAGGAGCAAAAGAAGAGCTGCTGAGTGTAAGAAAGGGGAAGAGAGGGTGGAAAAAAGAGAGGAGTAAAGGGCTGGGGGAGTAGAAAGAGATTTAAGGCTGAGGCTCAGAGCAGATGTTAGTGTTGATGATGATGGATGTAGGTTGTTGAGATGCAGAGTTGTTATCATGAGAGGCACTCGCAGACTCTTCACAGCACACTTTCGCCCAGATGTCACTGTGTGTGCGTGTGTGGGTGTGCGTGTGTTACACAGCAACAGAGAGGAACATGGTGAAATGAGCAAGGTACGTGCTCAAATTAGACACTAAATCTACTTTACCGATGCTGTTTTTTTTATGAAATTGTGGATTCAGTCTTCTTTAATGAAATGAAATTTGCCCTTTACATCAACTACAAGTAATAATAACAATGAAGAGAAGCAATGAGATACAACAAAAGAGAGTTTAGAGGCTGATTGGCGCAGATGAGGCTAATGAACAACTATCTTTTGCACTCTTGGGTGCAGACATGGTGAAAAGCAACTTCCTCTAAAGGCCTAAATTGGATTAATTTGAAGATTTGTTTTTTCTTTTACCTTTATGAGAGAGGTTACATTCTCTTCCGGAAAACCGCGTGTCCCTGGGCTACGACGTACATCCCTGCAATCATCCAAATCAACCAGAAACTACACGCACACACACATACAGGCAGAAGGTGGTCTGTGTGTGCGTGTGTATGTGTCTGTGTGAATGGGACATGTTGAGTGGTGGTAACCTGCCCTACACTCTAACCACATAAAAGGTGCAGGACAGAAACATGTCGGTAATTGATTGCTAATTAGTTCTTTTGTTGTTGTCCATTGTGTGGTGACAGAGCTTTGCCCTGGGCTGTCTATTCACACGCAGGCTCTGTGGCCTCACAGCAAGGCAACAAGCATAGTCACACCATAATGAGAAAGTCATATATAACTGCAGCAGATGACAGAAGCTGCACTACAAACCCTCTGCAAAGGAACTCTTGACATAACAGAGGAAATGGTGACCCTTTTTTATGAATTCAAGTCATATGTCACAAATATTTTTATTTTAATGCAAATAGAAGAAGACCTATGTGAGTATGGTGATAAAACCCCCTCCCTGAGCTGTATGTTGTTTACAGTATACGTTGCAGCAAACTATGTCATTTCTACTAACTTGGTATACCCACATCTCTCTCTCTCTCTCCCTCTCTCATCAGTGCATGAGAAATTACCTAATGAGGAATGGGTCGCACATTTCCACAAACTCATTAACCCGCGAGCGAGTGAGACTAATTGCAGCGTTTGGGTAATGTGATTTCACATCTGTTACTGCAGCCCAGGACACAGTAGTCAGCACAGGGCCGGATCTGTTGGGCTGAGCTATGCATAGAACTAGATTTAGCAGAAACACAACATACACTCAGGCTGACACCACTACAGCTCATGTCTGAATGGGTGGAGCAGTAGTCATTTTGGCTGTGGCTGTTATCGTTTTTGATCAACTGCCACGCAGTATCTGGTAATTGCAAGTCTCTGGAGAGTGGGTGGGCCTCCTGGATTCATTGATTGACTCCCACTAGGATGTAAATACTGTTTACAAGACGGATAAGCAATGGCCTCAAGTTATAATGTAAACAGTCAATCAGTTAAAAAAAAGAAACAACAACTAGGTAATTAGTAAGTTTTAAATTTCTGTTTTACAAAAGATGGCATTTACTTTGAAATGTAACGTGAAAGCAGAAAGGTTGGTCGAGTGGGTTAAACATCTGCTTCATATCTCAGGTTGACACTGGTGCTGGATTGCAGCGTTTTCCATTTTCATTTACATTCATAACGATTTCCATTGCTTTGAGTTGTTTTTAGGTTTTCCTTCCTCTGTATATGCTGGTGTGTTATACACTAAACAATGTAACACAATCACTGCATTTGTTAGTGTAGCCACTTGTGATCCTGCTGGGAACATATGACACATCCTAAAATACCTTAAGTCAAAAAAGTTTTTATTGCTTGGTGGAAAACTTTGTTTTAGGCCATCTCATTCAAGTTAATTTCTCCAAGCAGAAGCACAGGCTTTTATTCTCTGGCTCTCTCATATATACACACAGAATGGAATAAATGAATTTTTCAGGGTCTCGACTTGAGTTGGTATTTCCAATAATTCCATAAATGACTGCAAACAAATTTATGCTAATAGAAAAGGTGGGAGCCAACTGTTTAATATGGGGAAAGTAATATACTTTTGTTAATTATGATTAATCCTTTGTTTAACCTCACAGCATTGTTACAGAAACTCCAATTATAAGTTTACAGGCAGTGGGACTGCTTATGGTAATGCCATATCTCATCAATTACCATCCCGTGACCATAAATTGGCCTCAGCACCGGCAGCGAGATGAGGTTAACACGCTGATTAATTTGAGCTACTGTGATTTCAGGCTAAGCTGACACTTACACTCTTTGACACAGACAGTGAGGTCTGCTAACTTTCATAATGGAAAAATTGTATTTACCACATTCAGGGCTGCTTCTGAGGCTATAGACATCACACATCACATCAGGATAATTTAAAATCAAAGCAACATAAACAAGGTGAGAGGTTTTCCTATTACAGAACTGATTGGCAAGTAATGAGGAATTTTAGATAAATGTCAAATGATGAAAAGGTACAAAAGCAAACTGCCTCATACAGTTGATTTGTATTTTTTGTCATGATGTGCATGTAATGTTTTAAACATTATAGAGCTAATCATAAATCTGATGTAATGAATAATGAATATTATCCATTACATCTGAAAACATGTCAGTTTACCAGATTTGGGTTAATGATTAGTTTTGATTCATAAATGCTTCACTGGATTGCATTTTTAAATAGATAACTACCATTCTATTATCTGTTTCAGCTTGGTTTTACCAGCTTAATCGCCGACTCTTTACACACTAACTGTGAGTCTACTACACTGGTTAAGTTAACCACATGGATCAATTTTGTCCTGTTGGAAGTGACAAAACATATTATGTATATATAACTTATATATAACTTTTCTTATGTGTAACATGTAGAAAATGGTAAGAAAACTTCCCAAAGCAACATCTAAAATATCATTTGATTTAATTAATATGGTGTTGTTATGGTGCTGACTGACAGGCACACAAATAGTGATTTGCCCATGAACACGTTATTGCTAATGCATTGTGGAACAGACTGAAGCGCACAATATTGAGCTCCACGCTTAATGTTTACATAACACCTCTGATACACTTGCCAAGAGCTTATTGCTGTATTTTAATCATAATTTTAATATGTTTATATATATTGTTAGTATGCGTTTGGATCCTTGTGTTTTCTAGCTTACTGACAATCCCACTTTTAACAGGTATGCTATTTACATTGGTATTATCCAACATCCTGGTCTAAAATTGCTAGCTATAACCATTTGAGTTAAAATTGCATGATGGAAAAGTCCTAAACTGATCCATATGTTATAAACTGTAAGTAATTAAACGGAGGTATCTCCGGTTTTGATATAATAACAATATGATTAACAAACATCCACTAGCTAAGAGCAAATGACGACAGCAATTTACTATTTCCTCTCTGGCTCCATATTAGAATAAACTTTACATTTAAATCATTGATCAAATAAAGTGGTTGCTGCTTTCCACGGTCCTGGTTTTGTTCCATTCACAGAATAATATGTGAATATTTTCATGTCGTCTAGCACTCCTATAATGACCTCTTTGGATAGCATAATGGAGCAATTTTTAACTTCCTTTTTAGCGTGCTAGGGTCATAGCACCAACCTTTACCTAAGCATATAAGTTATACAGTATAAGCTGGTGTATTCCTTTGAGTCGTAGCCTTGCGATCCCTCCGTTTAGTTTCAGTCCATCCAGTGTGTTCAGTGGGATGACCGTCATGGTTAAAATCAATGACCGTCACATCACAGCGCTGACATCTCAGCCTGGTATCTTTACCGCTGCTGTCTGCCACCATAAGACCAGTCACCCTTCACAAACCCTTTAACCCTGTCTCCTCATAAACCCTGCAAAAACACCTCTTTAGGTCACTGAGCAATAACCAAAAAAATAATAATTTGTGCAACAAAATTATGTCATATAGCAGTCAGACGCGTACTGATAACATGTAACTGTGGATAATCCAAGGCAATGGATAGTTCAAATCGCCTAAACTAAACATACGTACAGTATTGCGCCTTAATAGATATCGTAGCAAACGCTTCACCGTCCTTGGAAATGTATTCAAAATAATCATTATGCGTTTAAATTTAATGGAGACATACATCATTCTTGTTTTTGACATTCTTGAAAATTATTTTTATTTGTTTGCTCATTTTAAATTGGTACAAACCCGTCAATGTGGTGCATTTCGATGTAAGATCAAACATTTAAGAAATGTGTCAAGTAATATCACATACAATAAGTTAAAACATGTCACAAAAAAGACCAGCGGGTACATAGCAAGAATGTTTTATCTACACAAAACATCCTAAAACAGAGTAGGCCTACTGAAAGATCGCCCGTGTGTGTGTGTGATCCCGTCCCATGCAGACGGGACTGAGGTCACCAAACAAAAGCACCTGTTCAGTCTGAGTGGGCACCGTTTTCTCCTTTAATTATTAAATCCACATGCACAGTGCATGCCCGAGACCCAGTTCAGTAGGCTCACTGTCAGTTTGGTGCGTGTGTGGCAGGCTGCTATCAAAATACCCAATCTTATAAATAACCGTTTGACATAACACAACCTCACCTGAACACAATAACGTGCGTAAAGACACGCTCAATGACAACGTAAATACGACGATTGTTTGGCTCTCGGTAATTAGGGCCTATAGTCTAAAGATCATTACAATAGTATTTATCAACAATAGCTGGTAAGAAAAAAATCCGTTTGAATTAACGAGATAAATGACCCCATTTTTTTTCTTCCGTTTGTCAATAAATGTTGTCCTTTTGTTATTATCATTATTTGGTCTTTATGAGGTGGCATTTACCTCTTTTTTTCTCTCCTCACATTTAAGGCCTGATTACTTCATTCGTTCTCTCATTTTGATCTAAATAGCTGGATTAAAAACAGGAAAAAAGAAGGAGCCAGGCGGGGCTGGGAGAGGGGTGTTTGGTGGAATAGGGTGCGGTGTGGTCAAAAGTCACTAAGTGAAACTCATGGACACTGTGTGCTCCAGCGCTTTGCGCCTCAGAGACGCGATGCTCGTTCCTCTCCACATGTCACTGTCCGGGGAGCTACACAGCTGTGGGGAGCCCGATACGTTCGTGGGGCCGGAGAGGGAGGCCGACATTCCTGGAAAAGGCGTCTGGTAGAGGTGGGACTGCAGACCGGAGCCGTTGGAGGACAGGCCGTTAGAGAGACCCATGGAGTTTGGTGGCGGGCCTGGACCAAGGCTGCACTGTGACAGTGACTGCGCCATGCCTGGCTGGCGACCCAGAGCGGGGGGGAGCTGCAGCTGGGAGACCCCCGGCATCCCCGTAGCCCAGCGAGAGTCGTTGGCGTGGAAGGAGCACAGGCTGTTCTCCATGGCGGCAGCGGCAGAAAACTGTGGCAGGCCCGGTGTTGGGAGCAGGGTACCCGGTGCACGGAAAACATTAGTGGTCTTCTTCCTTTTCTTCCACTTAGCGCGTCTATTCTGGAACCAAACCTGAAATCAGAGACACAAATCGACATTTAGAGGTACTGAGAAACATACGTGATATATTTCTTGGGCACTGCGTGTTTATTTTAACCAGGAAAGATGCCACGTTCTCATCCATATGAAGCCATATGCAATGGACACAATAATAGCATTCTTCACCACAATAATCTCATTTTGAGGTGGACCTAACTAAATTTAATCGAATTATTATTAGACCTCTTCTCTTGGCCCAGGACTTTTCTAAGGCCAACCACTTTGAATAATTGTTGGCCAACAGTCAGAGAAAATTTTAATAGTGTACTTATAACCCCAAACCTCAAAATAAGCTTTTGGGAGTGCCGAAAGTTTCGAATCTCTAAAGATGAAGCGAAGTATTTCGAAAGAAATTGTAAAAAAAAAAAAAAAAAGGTTCCAGTAAATAAAACAAAAGTAAGAGAACATTTATATTCTGTAGGAGACAGAAATAGCTGTGGTGTAAAAATGTGTGCGTCAGAGGGTTTGTTACTCAAGTTCTGCAGCAAGGAGTCGAGCAATTTATCTTTCTAACATCTTATTTACAAGCAGATTAACTGAAAATTGCCCTAAATATTGCGCGGGCTTAAATACAAATGGCCCGCATCGCTGTACAGCATCTATGCGAAAATAAAAAATGCCCGTCTGTTGGCTATGCGCGAGAAAACCCACAAACACACCGAGCCATGCAGCTGAAAACGCACGCGCGACACCGCTGGGCTTTATAAAGATTTCATCTTCGGGTGTGATTAATGCGCGCACGAGGCCGTGAGTCGATGCCTCCATATTAAAAGTGAAATCTCGCTCTCATTCCGCTCAGCCAGCCGTGAAACGTCGCCCAAACCCATTACACTCGGGGGGAAAGAAAATGCAATTTCTCATTCCATTAAAAAAGTACAATATATTCTTGAGTCCTATTAAGACGTCGCTGATAGAGCATTTTAAAGGAGAGAGGCTGTGTGGAGGCACGCGCTCGGGCCAACACGCCCACTGAAGGCTGCACCTGCACGGCCTGCACTAATGTTTACCAACACCGACTATGAGCCGGCATGCACTGAGCGGTTAGGATCCTGCACTGGTTGGAATAAAGAATGGATTATTACGGTGACTAATGATTATACTGGTTTTATTGCTTTCAGTGGGATAATTTGCATGAATTTCACATCACGGTTTAATAACCCGTTCACTGTTATAAATAAGACTGAAATTGGTTGGTAATGTGTTTTGTTTATTAGAGCCTAGCATGTTCCTTCTCTCTTTAGTTTTCTCAAAACTGTCAAATAATCACGTGCGATTAATAAGAGAGATTTTTTTTTTTTTTTACAAATGTGTAATCATATTTTGTTACGGAAATTCTCATAAATGTAGTCCGAGAAAAATATCTGGAAGGCTATCTTCTAGTACTTGAAGATTTATTTTATTAGATGGTTAAATAAATGGAAAAAAAAATCAGAGATAATGATCAAAGCCGTAATGCTCCCCGTGTAATTGTTGGAAGTACAAAATTGCAAAATAAAACAAAGAAACGAAAAAAAGAAGAAAAAAAAGTCTCCATGAGTGGCGATACACTGGAATTTGTAAAAGCCAGATGACCATCGAATTCCTCATCCTCAAATGAGAAATGTTTCAGTACCTTGGACAGAGCCCTTTGTGGACCGGATGCTCTCACAATTAAATATTAGTCAGATATCAGGTTAAAGTTGAATATATTATGGGATACTTGCGTCATGCAACTCAATTTAAGCAGAAACTATTTTCTTAAACAGTTATTACTGGAAAATCTGGACACGGCGAGGCTATGCTATCGTTTTTATGCACAGTGATACTGGGGAGAGATATTTCACACGCGGTACCTGAAAAAGCAAAATGTACTCCTTTACTTGAAGTATATTGTATAGACTCTCATTTAAGTCTTGGCTTATTGTAACTTAGACTGAGCAAGTGGCGCCATTTCAATGGTTAGCTTTGAAATTCCAAGTAGTTCATCCAAACTTGAAACGTCCACGAAATATCTTGGTATTGGGTGAAAATTAACTACAAATTAATTAGGGCAAAATGACAAATGATTAAAAATAAAAATGTCTCTTAATAACACAGAGGCACGTGGTTTCCTCTTGTGACACAACCGATTCTGTTCACTATCTTCCAGGCGGATTGAAATGGTAATTATTATGATGATGATTTTATTTAATTTTTTTGTATTTATGTATTTATTTTGGATATTTACAAATCGTAAAAAAACTGTTTCCAAAGCCCCACCCTGAATTGTTATGCGAGTCTCTGCATTATTGTATTTACCTGAACTCTGGACTCGGTGAGGCCGATCCTTAGCGCCAGTTCCTCCCTCATGAAGATATCAGGGTAGTGGGTTTTGGCGAAGCTTCGCTCCAGCTCATTGAGCTGCGCCGGTGTGAAACGCGTCCTGTGCCGCTTCTGCTTCTGCTGGCTTGTGGTCTGGCCGGAGTTCTGCTGCGGCTGTTGCTGCTGCTTCTCCTGCTCCTTCCCGTTCACCGGCATGCCCGCAGAGTTGGATCCTACAGTGGCGATGTCTTCACCCGGCAGGAGAGTGGTTCCTTCAACAGAGTCTGAACCAGGAGGCATGTCTCCCGGATGCCCCTGGTCTGGAACTCCACCTCCCAGCCGGCATTTGAGAGCTTCTCGGTGTCCGAGTAAGTCTGCAGCATCCTTCATCCCTGAGAGGATGAGTAGGAGAGGGGATTTGAGTAAATATGCCGAGTACCGCAGCGTCTTATAAACAAAGTTATATGAAATGCTTTGAGTCTTTAAAATATAACAGGCAGCACAGATGGCATTAAAAACACAATATACAACATTTACGTTGGTATTTTATGGTATAATTTTTCTGTGCTGATAAATTACTTATAAATTGCTTCGACCAACGATAAACCACTTAGTTGTTAACACAATTAACCACACAGTCTATTTATCACTTCACAACGTTAGACAAAAAGTTGAAATCTTACACTGGAGTTTAGGGCCGGAGTTTAGTGATGATAACTCACCGAGCCGAGCATCCAGGAGGTCGGCATGAGAGAGCATCGCGTACCGCTCCAGGGCGAAATGCGCTCCAAAAAAAATCCTACAACTTTGGGTCAATTTAAAAAGTATATATGGTCTAAATGAACGAAAATTCGGTTTGTGGTTAAAAAGGAGGTCCCTTGCATTATAATGTCCTTTAGAGCGATGGGGAGGCGCTTATTAGTTGAAAGAACCCGTGAGCTTCCTCAAATAAGAGCCAATCAGAGCAGGAGCTTGGAAATGTCAGCGACGTGACTCCCCCTTCTTTTTTTAACACAGGCGCGCACGTAAGCGCGCACGCGCAGACCCAAACGCGCACGAAATACTACAATTCAATCCTCTGCCATTCCGTCCTCTGATTTATTAGCTTTTCATGCTCAAATTATCCCACGTTAAACATCTTAATGTGTTTGTTTAATCTCATATAGTCCGTGCCCTGACAGGACTTCCGTTAGTACATAGAAACACATGTAAAATACGGGAGGAGAGCGCATGCAGAGGCTTGTTTTACTTCGTTAAAGGAGCTGACACTTATTTGAAAGGGAAACTGTATTGTCACTCTAATTGAACACATCAAAATCTTAATTTTTAAATCCCTTTACTGTATAATTCAGACTGTTCACACAGTAAAGCCAGGATTCATTTAGCAAATGAAGGGACAGAAATCTACGGTTACAATTTTAAAGCTGGTTGCTGTTTATTTATTAAGGGGAGCAAATTGAGTCTCTTTTGTACTTATCAGTTTGGACATTGGTCATAAAAAACACAAAGGCAATAAGAACAAGAAACGTTATCACACCAGACCTCCTTCTAACCCCTCAGAGCCCCTATTCCCTCCCGTCCTTGGCTCACAAACAAAACAAATATAGCTCCCATTCCCTCATGGCAGGTGATTTGTGGAGACAAATCGTGGAAATAAATAAATAAACGAGTACAGATGGATTTAAACACCGTCGGTGATCGGCCGCTTTAACTCCCATCGACTTTTCATCAACACTGGCCCAATTAAAGGTATTTAGGCCTGCTTGGTTCAAACAAAATCAGACGTGGTGGACCCTAAACGATTGTGCCCCTTTAGCAGAAGTCCATAAGTAGGTCTATTATACAATTAACAGGACAGCGCATTGATTTGCGCTCCACTCTTACTTCTCCAGACAGTGCTGGTTAGAGAAGGCTTTTGGCAGATGTCAGGGTGAGCCTGGTGAATAGACCACCGCCTGGGACTAAATAGGTTTCTTTTCAGCCACACAAAGGAGGCGTCCGAGCGAGGACTCCTCTCTCTCTCCCCTCCTGCACCACATGGAGGCAGCTCATCTTTTATGCTCCTCAACAGCAATCTGCCGGGACGCGGGGAAGTAGCCTATATGTGGCACAGCGTGAAAACTTAAGGAAATGGACTGGTGCATGGTGCACTGAGATGAGGAAAGCTGTGACCATCTCCCGAAGGTTCAGGAGAAGCAATCAACAGCAGCAGCAGCAGCAGAGGCTCGATTCGCTTGATTCAGACGTGTAGACCAGGAGAGAGGAGAGGGACTCACTTTATTGGGAGTTGTAGGGCCAACACTGCGTTTGTGAAGGGCCCGAGCCACGAGATGGTCTGTATGCTGTGGAAAGTGTTTGTGAAAGTATATAAATATATACAGTCGTTATTATTATTATTATTGTTGGGCAAACTTTGGGTACTTTTTTGTTACATGAGTTATCCTTTTACCACTAATCAACAACAAAAAATGCAATCAAAATATAATAATAATAATAATAATAATAATAATAATAATAATTTTTTAAAGTATATTATTTAAAATCCGATATATTTTAATGGAAAACACCATATTTTAATTTCTCTACATGGACATAAAATGAGACGTGTTAAAAATCGATCGTGGCCTATATGTTTTAAGTTACTCATCTGAAGACCTACATGGTATAGTAACGGCCTGGATGACAGATATCCCCTCAGCTGTCCGATCCACAGACTGTAACTTATTGCTGTAATAAGAAGGACCCACTTGAAATGGGTCTATGTCTCACTCAGCACTCAGCCTCCCTAACTGGACCACATCAATCTTCCCCAGTAAAAACACACTCACATAGGCCTACAATCCTCCCGGGTTAATGCGGCGCATCTGAGTGCGGAACGGCTGTTTACACGCGAGGAGACACTTTTAATGGAAGCGCACCAAAAACAAATGCAATTTTGTAGAGCAATTTCAAAGATCAAGAATTCCGTGTCCACCCTCTCCGCGGTTTTTTAGCAATCAAACTGCGTTAAATCCATTGCTCATACGAGCCTTTGCAGAACAGGTTACAATAACACAAAGCAACAAAAGGCAGATGCAGGGATAAGAGCCTTTACACCACAACTGAACTGTAACCTGAGCCAGTAGGTAAACTGGTCGTTTCTTATGTTAAGGCCTATTGCATCGCCTTCCAGGCATCTGCATTCACTCAGTTATAGAAATCTAAAAAGGAAAATCGATTTTCCATCTGCAGAAACGCTTATCTAACAAATCACGCTGTAGTTCTGTGCAGGTGATTTGACAGTCAGAGGAATAAGAAGCAGACCAATAAGTGCGTTGCATCAGAGCCCGAGAGAGGAGAGAGCGAAGAGCCGAAGACAGGCGAACCCATTAGAGGCTTTCCTCTCCGGCCACCCATCCTGGCTGCACCACCCTGTGCATCTCATGCTCCAATTAGGCCCGTTGCCCTCCGCCTGGTGTCCGTTACTGCTTGATGCGGTGCACAGAGCGGTAATCACGGCATCAAATAAAATAATCAGCAAAGAAGAACGATTTCCTTAATGAGAAAGAAGAGGCGTATGTCACGGAGAAGGTGGTGTGGTGTTCTTGAGTGCGTGTGTGTGCGTGTTTGCATGCGTGCGCGCGCATGTGTGTGTGTATTTGAGAGGTTATTAAAATAGCAATGAAAGTCACAATAGGTGTCATTTACATATTGGTGTTCAAAGTCTCAGCAGCTTTCAAAACGTCTCATTATATGTGGTGTTAAAAGGCGACCCCATGCTCAGGTGCTCTCTGTGTGGGATGCTCGGATTTTCATTCATTTGTTATTAAGAGAAACAATGTGAACAACCTCAGGCTGCTGATGATATATGGCTCATGTCATCAATGTGACTCATGGCAGTCAAAGTTACCCATAAATATGAAATGTTTCAACATGGTTGTTAGTTTAGTATGTATAAAGAAAACATGGTTCACGCATACATGCAGCACCTACCCAGCCATGTTTCAGTAGATTTCTACAGCTTGTTGATATATTGTGATGGGCCACAATAATTTCACCATCAAATTGTACAGTTATTGGTCAAAAGTAAGATTAAAAAAAAATCATTCTTCTTAAACTTTATATCCCATCAACTTTTTCTTGACATAGTCAAATTCTGTCTTCAGTACAAAAGTTTCAAACCTCTCTGAATGTGGAAAAGAATATTTATTATTATATAGTATTACTTGGTATTAAATAAAAAAAATATTCTCCACAGACCACTGTTATCATTTGCTATACGCTGATAAATTTCTCTGAGCTTACCAAAGTAGTCACCAAAATGACTCAAAGGTCATTTAAAGTCCAGGGGGACTGCAGATGTTCTTTACGTTTATGTTCTTTATTTACAGTCTAAGTCAGGTTAATACTAAAAACCCAGATAAATGTGCATTTAACAAATATCATCCACTGAAGCTGAATGTAGCTGCAGATACACCAACATACAAAGCCATGTTTTGGCATTAAATTAAAATGTAATTTTAAAAAGTTTTACTCTGAAATGTTTTTATTGAAAATACAGAGGAAAATTCTTTAATTATGACCACCAAGGTCTAATCTAGGCCAATGGATTATTTTGTAAAGGATTACGACAATAATTATTTCACTTTTTTCAGTTAAATGAACAGCAATGCCCAATGAAGTCATGCCAATATTTCCCGTACTCTTACACATACACCTTTCCAGGTATGTTGCAGTAGACTCTTGTGGCTTGTGTGATGTGTGATGCTCGAAGTAAGTTCACTATCAGATTATACATTTGGTCAAAAATGAAACAGTTGGAATTTATTTTCTGTCTAAGCAAGTTATTCAGATCATAGACTAAAGCTCTCTAGTTGTTTAGTCCCAAAATCTCTTCATGTGCTTTTGAACGTCTGTTGCTCTGCTGTGGTCTGCGATAACACATGTAAAAAGACATTCTGTCTAAATTACACCATTTTTCATTTTTCTCCATTCAGTTCAATTCAGTTTTATTTCTATAGTACCAACTCACAACAACAGCTGCCTCGAGGCATTTTATATTGTAAAATGTAGGGTCAGCTGTTCATGAACTGTTCTGTAAAAGGGTGGTTTGCTAAATGTTATTGTTTATTTCTCTTTTACATAACCTATAATATCTATCTATCTATCTATCTATCTATCTATCTATCTATCTATCTATCTATCTATCTATCTATCTATCTATCTATCTATCTATCTATCTATCTATCTTTATCTTGAAGCTTGCGTGTTTTCATTACCTCTTACTATTGTCAACAAAAACCATACTTCAAGCAAACTTAACTACAATATAAATTATTCAAATAAGTCTTCACAACTGTTTAGCACAGTCTGTTGATCTATTGTGTTTACACTCAGTCACTTAAGCTCCTCCAGTTGTCTGCAGATCTAATCCCTTTTTCCTCTCTGACACCTTGACTTTCCCTCCAGTTCTGCTCCAGCTATTAGAATATGTTCTTTCTTAAGTCTGGTCATTAGTTAGGTCTATTACTGTGGCTCCATCATTAGGAAGCTGTAATGCATCATTGAAGGTAATGAGTGCCTTACATTACAGGTGCCAGGGAGCCTTGGACACAGTTAACGAGACCCTTTTTTACACTGTAGTCTGAAAACAATGCCAGTTTAAATAATTTCAGCCACTAAGGTGTTAGCTTGATGTCACTGTGTTTTAGCAAAGGCTATTCCGAGTCACATTTAGTAATGTGTTATGTATGATTTTATTGATGAAAATATCAATTGTATGCTACTCTAGTAAAATTGAGAAAATAAACATCAAATTCTACTATAAGAATTATATAAAGTGTGAACAATTTGGTAATATTATCCTGACTTAAAAACTATAGGTATATTTAGGTCAACACATATACTT